TATCCCCTTTCCAATCAGCCTTAATTAATTGCCACGTGCCTCGCTGGCATTTTCCCGCCAGCTCCGCACCTGTCCAACGGCCCAGACTCCGTGACGCCGCCACTTAACGCTAACAGCCTCTCGACCAATCACAGCCCTCGTCCCTTGACTCCCTTAATTACTTTGGCTTATACTCTTTGGTTCTATTGGTTAAAGTCACGTAGGTGAAAATAAAATAACAAAAAATCACGACGCTTCGGCCACAACACAAGCGGCCTTCATCAGGTGAAGGGACGAGACTGTCTTACTTTGGCTTGTTTACGCCACCCGTGACTTCATCACCTGCCCGACCTTACATGACCCACACTGTTTGTATGCACTGTATATGGCCAATTTACCCATGTGTATTTTCTACTCCACTACACAGGTAGTGTGCCGGTTCTGGGAGTGGACTCGTCTCGGCGTCGCTGTCGTCTCCGCTAGATGTTGCGCTACGAGACAGTCGTTGGCTATCTTAGTTAATTGCATGCCCATATATGGACTGGTTGGGTGTGGCTGCGCTGGAACGAAATGAATCCACGACTGGAAGGTGAATCGCGGTGTCTCCTCTATCTGTTGACGGGCCCAAGGTAGGTGCCTCACATTTGTATTGAAAGCAAAAGAAAAACCATCGTGACATCACAGTAAAGTTTCTCAATGTCTAGGCAGTGTGAGTGATAGATTTGTTTCGTGCCGGCAGTCCGGTGACACCTTCATACATTGTGTCCCCCACGTTTTCATTGGTCCGTGTGAAGTGACACCGACGACTGGGTACACGGAGCCTCTTTATTGAAGACACAGAGCGACCTGCACTCGGCCCGGCATTTGGTTCTTCACTCCGTGTAGTCGCCCCTTCCCTTGAGCGTCTCCCACACACTCCTCGTGCTCTACCCTCTTTCATGCTCCTCAGAGCCCCTTTTAAATAACTTTCCGTCGACTCCCGGCTCAACTATGTTTCCCGATTTTTCTTTTCGGTTCAAATATTTTTTTCTTATGGTCGGCTCAAACCCCTCCACCTCCCGGACCCATCATCGACGAGGCCCCTGGCCTACGTTTTGATAGTCAACTCTGCTGCACATTGGACTGGTTTGAGTGCCTCTCAAGTTTGGTCGTTTGCAACTGGATGAGTTTAAGCGAGGGGGCTCCTGGACCATATTTTGGGCTCGCCAGATTTCTGTCCAGCTCTGCCGAGCGATGTCGTGCCACACGAAACCCATTCCAGAGTTTTCTGGTTACCGGTCTGGTACTAACTCCCGCTTCTCCCTGGAGCCAATCGGCTTATGACAGTCTGCGGATGTCCCTGGGTACTTCCTGCCAACCAAATGTGGGGTGGGGGATCATTGAATAAAGTTCAATATCAGATCGGACACTCACAAATGCAATGGTTTTGTATGCACTCAGTGTATGAAGTTTAATACAATATCTGACACAGAATCAAGTTAAAGCCGAAGTAGGACATCGGAATACCGTATATACACTGAATCGCAGATATGATAAAATCGTACATTACCATAACGTTAATGTGTTAGTGTAACCTGTGTGGTTATGTACTTGTTAAATGGTGCGTATGTCCGTGCTTCAGTATTATAACGAGATCCTCTTTATTTTCTTTTCAACACATTTTTGACAAAGTGCTTAGGTGATGACCAGTATGATGGAGAGATTCTAGATTTAAAGCTTTCGTGACTGCAAGGATCCATACTCTTTGGTTCTATTCGGTAAAGTCACGTAAAAAACAAAAAAATAAAAATTCACGACGTTTCGGCCACAACACAAGTGGCCTGATGAAGGCCACTTGTGTTGTGGCCGGAACGTCGTGAATTTTTTACGTGACTTTACCGAATAGAACCAAAGAGTATGATGGAGAGACTTCACGTGAACACGATCACTGATCCAATCGATTCGGAGTGATCGCTTCGGTGTGATCGAGTCGGCGTGTTATGTCACCGATTTTAGAATCAGTTCGGCGTTGCGCAGGGATTTGATCAGTGTGGCGTGGGGGCGTGAAGTTGACAGCAGATTTGGTCGTTTCAGATACTCCATCACAACCGTGTGCTGGAGAGGCCGGTTCAATAAACCCGCCGCGTGTGAACGGAGTCTCCTCCTGGATTCCTTGTCTACAAGCGTGGAGTGCAAGAAGATCACCCCGGAGAACTATCGGTTGTTAATTTTGCTGCGTAGTAACCCTTGACACCGATGAGAATTGTAGAACCACTCGGAGACGGAACGTCAGGTAAGGGCTTACGCAGGTTTAATAACACTCTTCACACGACTCTGTGTACTGCACACTCACTGACTGGTTACACTCGACGCCTACACCCGTTATGGTGCGCGTCAGAACTCTGGCCTGCACGTGGAACTGCTTCCAACTATAGGAGTCCTCTACGTATGATGTATAGTAGTGTAGTGTATAGTGTAGTGTATAGTGCAGTATAGTGTCGTGTATAGTGTAGTATACTAATATAGCTTGGCACTCCAACACACCGGCGTGCTGTATTAGTGTACTACACTATACACTACTTTATACTACACCACCATACACTACTACACTATACAGGTAGTCCCCGACTTACGATGGAGATGTGTTACGACCACCATCGTAAGCCAAAAATACCGTAAGTCGAAGATGACATAGCCTACCCAGGAGTCTTAAAGAATGGTGATAATTTTACTGTATAAACTATATACTGTATGTATTTATTAATTACAATACTGTAGTGCAGAGTAAAATGTGAAGTAAAAAAAACCAAGGTAAATTCTGAGCCTACTAATATGAACTGCAATTTAATAGAAAGTTTTTTTTCAGGAAACAATCCTATCTGCATCACACAAGGCGGGAGATGCGAACATCCCGGCAGCGTCCCCAACGTACACTATCGTACCTCGTACGCTGCTGCGTTTGACTGCCGCGCGAAATTTAAAACATTTTACAATTTTGTCGTACCGCTATCGCCATCGTAAGTTCGAAATGTTGTCGTAAGTCGGACCATCGTAAGTCGGGGACTACCTGTATTTACGCCCCGGTACGGCTTCCCATGCCTACTTCCTCGTCTGCCCCGGGCGGGGGCTCACCCATCACCGTCCGGCGACGAGGTGAGGCCTCTACCCCTCTCGCCTTTCTTCGGCGGCGGCTGGGGTGTTCCCACGCAGGCTCTCGTTCCTCCTCCCATGGCGGACACTTCGCTACCCCCCTACGGCGACCCCGCGCTCGTCCCCCTTAAGTACCCCGCCGCCTCGGTGACATGACATCATCACGTCACGTCATCCCTCTTCTCTACAGATGACGTGACGTCATCCCACTACTCCTCTACACTTTGTTAATTATTAATTATCGCTCACGGCGCGGGTTACAAACGCATAAAAAACTACAATTTATTTGCACGGCGGCTTAACATCACAGTATGATCGACTACATGAACAGATTAATACAACAAAATACGTAAAAAGCTGACATCAATACCGTTGTTTTGTATGCTCTGCGATCCGCGCAATGCAATACAAATTCCGTGGTGCCGTGGCGCTACTCAAGTGATCAGCTGGACGTCTGTTTTGTTGTACAGTACTTCATGGTGCACATTAATGTTGCCGTCAGTCATGGACCCAAGCGTGCAGCGAGTGGTGAGAGTGAGGGAGTTGCGTCTGTGGTCTGGAGGAAGGGGGCGTGGCTGGGCTGAGCCCCTCCTCCTTCTAACCAGCCCTCTCCCCCCATCATCTCATTGTCATCATCATCATCGTCAATATATTTGACTCTAATCATCGTTAGAATTAAAGGTTTGTAAAGTTAATGTCATGTTTATTTACGTTTTATTATGTTACTGTGTAATGTACCATACACAGTAAAATCGTTTAGTTAAAAAACAGCAGCTTATATGCTTAGCTCTTTCGGTAAAGTCACGTTGAAGGGAAACAATAAAATAATGAAATATATATAAAACAATAAAAATTCTCACGACGTTTCGACCATAACACAAACGGTCGTCATCAGGTGTGTCGGTTTGCATCAATTTATTTATTTTTAAACGGTGTATTTATCTATTTATAAAAAAAAGGTCAGCGCCACGCGCAGCGATTTGGCAGTTTATTTAGAAGGACTAGTCCATCTATGTTCTGAAAAGAGGAGGGGGGAGACGAAAAATTAATGTTTGCTGTCTGAAAGCCACTGTAAGCATGAACAATCAATTAAGACCTGAAATGGTTTATCAAATCTTTCCAATGATTGCTAAGCCAGAATCCATCTTCTCGGTTGAAATTGTCTCTGTGCTTGTATATGTGGATAGCCTCATGAACGAATCTCTCATGGTAGCCAGATGGCCTACAAAGAACCTCTGTCTTGGAAAAGTCAATGTCATGTGAGCCTTCTGAATTATAACAATGATCTGCCACGGCCGAGGTGTTGGTCCTACCGTGTTTAAGGTCTGCTTTGTGTTCACGAATGCGGTCCGAGACATGGCGTTTGGTTTCTCCAATGTAACTACTACCGCAGAGGCAACTTAGTTTGTAGACACCAGGGTACGGTATGTCCGGAATCACATCTTTTACAGACGGAACCAGATCACGGATTTTATGTAATGTGTTGAAACGGACCTGGATCTTGTGTTTATTCAAGATATTGGAGATCTTTTTTGTGATCCCCGCAATGTAGGGTAAAGTGATGGTTTTGAAAGGCTCCTCAAGAGGGTCCTTCTTCATGGTTTGAGTGATAGCTTTGCGGATTGTATAGTCGGAGTAACCATTAGCCTTAAGAGCTTGGTGTACGTGCTTGAGTTCACTGCCTATGTGTTCCTGGTCGGATATGCATTGGGCTCTATGATACAGAGTCTTGATGAGATAATTCTTCTGTGATGGATGGTGGTGGGAATCCGGTTTCAGATAAGCATCCGTATGGGTAGCTTTCCTGTAGACAGAGTGGCTCATTGAACCATCAGGTCTCTTTTTAATTAGGACATCCAAAAAAGGTAGCTTGCCATCTTTTTCGACTTCAATTACTGTACCATTGAAAATTGTTTCCCTTCAACGTGACTTTACCGAAAGAGCTAAGAATATGAATTACTACAGCAGCTTAGTCAAGCTATGACGAGTTTGACCACGTCTGTGGTTCTCATAACCCCCTTGAACCCATAGGCCCCCTGTAACTTTACCAACCGCGAGGGTTTTCAGGAACCTGAACCCTCGCGGTTGTACAGGGAGTTACTCTACATACATACAGGGGTCGCATGGGGGACCGCTCTGATAGGAGCCTCTCATCGCTAACGACGAGCGTCTAAGTAAGGCAACGGGCATATTGCGAGACTTTCGCACAGCACGGCCATTGCAGGGTACAGCTCTCGATCAAATTTTCCTTGAAATCGATGCAGCAGCGACATGGAGTCGGCGCTGTAGAATGACAAGACGCCCGCCTCCCAGTCCAGGTGAACCCCGACTCTTTTGGGAGCATCTCGCACTGACAGTTTTGTTTCTGTCTCGTTATGTACCGCCGTGTAGGTGTTGCCCCGTTTCTTAAGGCACCACGAAACTTCATTGAACCCAATTTTACAGGCTTCGTCGTCACCTTTCCGTGGTATCGCATCATACGCTAGACCGATGTTGAATTTCTCAGAACCTCTCACGTCCACCTCCCAGTAGTGGCGACCCGATGAGAATTTCTCAGAGCAAATGACCACTCGGTAGTGGTCGAATCTGTCTGAGTTGTCAGGGTAAGGTTGAGTGTGTGTGGACGTCCTGACGGTTTTAAAGTCGGCAGAAATCTGGAGGTTCCGATGTGCCGTGTTTGGGTTCAGAGTCGGTGAGCAAGTGCCTGTTAACGATAATAATACACATGTTGTGTTAAGTGAACATTGATTACTTTTGAGAAATACACTTTGCAATTGGCAATGTCAGGAAGAAGTACAAACATTTGCTGAAAGTTTTAGAGTGCCGGGCTGCACTTCACACAGCTGATGTGGTCTTTATCAGTGGTACCTATGTTTCTGCCCTAGGTTCCTGCCCTGACTATGAAAGGCACATCAATTTGAGCCCAATGTATAAACCGACTGACCCAATCTCACTCTCAGCAAACTATCCACAAAACTGTCTGATGGCTTCAGGACACGTTTGGTCGTTAACAATCGTGTCACCTGTAATCCAGCACTTTGTAGGCGAGGGTCGGTGGATCACAGATTCGTGAATCTCCCTACGCAATGGCTGCTGCCATGCCAGGGTATGGCAGTTCAGCAAGTGGATTCTTCTGGAATCCATCTATAGGGGGATTACGTGTTACCTGCTCCATACTTATTGTTTGGTGATGTGACTCGCTGACTCCGTGTACCTACTGGACATCTGTGGTAAAAAGAGTTTTATAGCTCATCGGATTCCTCATCCAGGATAAGGATTTTGATACTTGAGTTTTTTCCATGTTTACTGCCACAATGCATTAACGCATTTTCGCTTGACGCGGAGCTTTTTAGCAATGCATCTACTGTGCGAAACGATGACATATTGCACCGTATTAAGGGGTTCATATCTCATACGGATATCTTTCTTCATCGTGTATCAGCAGTAGAGATGAGTGACAAAGATGATGCATTAATGAACTCAGCAATGCACGTTGTGTGGCGTGTACAGCATATCACGTACTCGACTCGCTCTGCATTTTCAGGAATGCCTCTTGCTTTTCACGATGTTCACGCAGAATCTCTTGGAGTTGCAGCTTCTTTCTGCTTTTGCGATTGAGGCGGCTGATGATGAAGTCAGCTCGTGCTGACGCGCGGGGTATCGAATATACTTCCGAGAGCTCAGATTGCGTGATGAGATCCTGGACGAGCAACTCGTGGTGTAGCATTGCAGGGATCCTACCGATCAACTCTCGTGCCACCGCAGCTTCCTCCGTCGTCGTTCTGAGCAATGCATCTTCGCTGTCACCCTTCTCTGCATCGGTGTTGTTTGTGTGATGATCTCTACTGTTTGCAAAGTGATCAAAAATCTGAATGTCTTCTCTGCTTTCATCCACAGCCAGGTTTTTCAATGTTTGAGCTGTTAAAATATTTGTAAGAATGAACAAAACAAATTTTAGTTCTAAAATTGTAATTGTTTAATGCCTTCGTCAGGATTATTATCATCATTATCATACGTTATTTTTAAGTCATCGTTGGGAAGTCGCCCCAAGCCACTACCATTTATTATGGCCCTGCACTGACAATTAATTTCATTAACAATATATTTCTGCACGTTAACTGATATCACTCAATCTCGGTCTCTGTCACCAACAGCCACCACTGCTTTTATCAATGTGCCCACAACCACTCTTTGCTTTGTACATTCTCTTTATATCTCCCAGTATAATTTTATAACAGCCGCCTTCTCTATCCCATTATGCACTTTCTGGATTTTTGCTTAATATCAGTTTTCATCACATAGATTTTTAGTCTTAATTTTAAAAAGAAATTCGAAAATAATGCCTGGATACGAAATTTCAGACAACTAGATGTTGTTGTAGTTGTTTGTTTGTTTCAGAATGAGACCACGTGCCTTGTTCACGGACACTGCCGCAGTGTTTCTGGAACCACGGCTGTGTTTGCGTTCTGCAGAAACACAGAGCTCAGAGATACCCTCACTCCCAGCTCCACGCTCTACTGCTATAACCTCGCATCTAGACTCCCTTGCCCTCACTACCCCCGCCACACACAGATATAGCAGGTGAAGTTGGGCCAAATAACCTCCATGACCGACCCATAGGAAGTGCATGGGCACTCACCTAGCAGTGGATTAACAAAAGGGATGTTCACGTGCTCTACTGCTGTGGCTACATCGCCTGCATGCACACTCGGCGGCGACAATTCTGAATCGTTTCCTTCTGGATATGAATACACTCCAAGTCAGTGTCGAGTATTCCCTATGCGTGACACGCCCTTGTACTCACCTTCGTAAATCGCGACTGAGCCCGACTTCACCTGCATAGCCGGACAAAGCGGCCCACTTGGAATGTCGTCGAATGAGTGCAACAGCTCCATGGTGCTGGCGTTGTAAAACGAAAGTTTTCCTGCGTTGAAGTCCAAGTGAACGCCGACTCTCTCCAAAAGCTGAACATCTGTAATGGTTTTGCGTTGTTTGTCATGTGCTACTTTGAAATTAAAATCCCATTGAATGAACGCCCAAGAGGACTCGTTAGAGCCAAGCCTGCCAGACTTTTCTTGACAATTCCGAGGAATCGACCCACGTGCGACGCCTATAGAACAGTTTTTAGAGACTCTCACGTCCACTTCCCAGTAGTGGTCACCCGACGTAAAGGTCTCGAAGCAGAGGACTATTGGCCACCACTCAAACCTCTCTGCATGATCAGAGTAATGCTGAGCCGCCTGGTTCCACGTCGCTGTGCTGAGATCGGCAGAAATTTGAAGATGTCGATGTGCCGAGTTGGGGTTCAGCTTGGGCGAGCACACATCTACAAGATAAACAAATCATCGTGTAAATCTTTACAATCACGACTCAGTTTTTTTGCTCGTTATCATCAGCCATGATTAAGTGGTCGCCATGAGATGCAAAGCTGCACCTGTAAATGTCTTGCCCATGCCACCGCTGGTGGAAGGATCTCAAATAGAAGCAGCTTCAGAGCCCCCCTCTTGAGGGTATTTGGCCCTCCCTTCCATCTGGTTACATGAGCCACAGCGGCTAGGAGATGTTAACTACCTCGCCTGGTATGCATGAGGTCGCGTGTTCAATACTGACCCTTACTTCTATTTTATAATTTGAGACTGCGTGTCTCTCTTCCCGTGGTGGTCGCGTGGATTTTTTCCGGGTCCTCTGATTCTTTCCCCCTCCACATTTAGAATCAACGTTAAGTGTTTAGAGTGTATTTGGCTACTGCTATACTGTATGTCCACATGATGATGATATCAACCACTTTGTTGAGCTATCATTTGTGATGGCCAGGTCACTACTGAAAAAGAGCTACTACACATAGCAGCTCAGTGGGGCCTTACCCTGTAAAATGCCTGATGACGACCACTTGTGTTGCGATCAAAGTGTCGTGATTTGTTTTATTTTATTTCTAACTACGTGAATTTACCGAAAGAACTAAAGAGTATGGATTCCTGCAGTCACGAAAGCTTCAAATCAAGATAAAAGAGTTTCGTTTACAAATTTTTTTCTTTAGTTTACTCCACTAACGGTAACCACTCATTGTGCTGTAGCCAGAGCAATTGCTTCGTCGCGTACCAAACCTTTAAACTGCGGCAGCATCGGAGCACGTGATGCCGTGCCGTGTTGTTTGAACATTTATTATCGGGCTCCCCGGAATGCAAGCAAACAAATGAGGAATACTACGCTTACTATTTCAGAAATGTATTTAAACTATTGCAGCCCAAAGCTACGTCGAACTGCGGATGTATGTTAATATACACATGGAGCTACTGCCAGAGATTTAAATTAGCTCGCATGCGAGTGCTAAGTGGATCGTTGCATAGCAAGGTCGTGGGAGGTATTGGAGGCCCTCATCCAGCAGTGGATTGACCTTGGCTGACGCCCTAAATTAAGTCGCAATTTCTTCTGACCACTCCACCACTGCACCACCTGTGAAGGATTTCCCACTTGAGTGAGACGCTGGGACTGTGGGCCTGCGATGCTGAGACTTAGTGGACTCATTTCTCTGTTGAGATCACTTTTTTGTCATTTTTGTTTACATCTTTTTTGTTTTGGTGACATTTATGTATTTGAATATTATTATTATTTAACTTTCTGACGGTGTTCATATGCTCGGTAATTGCTAGATACCGTATATGTCGTGGCGTAAAAGGCGTCACAATGGCGTTAGTGCCAACTACTGTCATGAGAGTGGAAATGCCCGTCAGGAGTCCTCTCTGCCACCAGAATAGGGTTGATATGAAAGCGGGCCATAGGGGGCATAGTTCTAGTGAGGGTTGGAGAGAGAGCAAGTGAGGACGTGATACTCTGTGCGAACCCGAGAGTGCACGTAACCAGGACAGGGTAGCAAGGGGGCCGAAAGGGGGCTAGGGGGGACACGTGATGAGGGCTGAGAAGCTTCTGGAGAGATCCAGAAGGGGGTGGGGCCGAGGGCGGTTCAAGGCCACGCTCAGTGGCATAAAGCTGGGGTCCTGAGAGTGATCGAGGCTCTGGGGGAAGTCTGTGTGTTCTATGTTCTTCGGTCCTCGCTCTGGGTCGTCGGTCAGTACGTTACTGACCAACCTTTTTATGTAGTTGCTCTGTTGGGGTCTAGTTAACTTGTTAAATGTTCTGTAGCGGTCACTGTTGGGCTGAATAAATAAACGTGGTCCTTCCAAGTTCAAGTGTGCTCCATGAAGAACACTACATATATAATAGGATTTGTACAGCGCCATGGGATATAATTATCATGAATGTCGGTATATTAAATTAAATTATCATTATTACGAAGTGTTATAGCATTTACAAAATAAAAAAGGCTCCGTTTAATGGATGGCTAAACTGACGAGAGTGTAAAGTGTACGCACGGCTCGTTTTCAGCATGTCCAGGAAATGGCGTTCCCTGCTCCGCTGTAGTTCGAGTATCTCCAGCAGCTCTCGGAACTTGACGTCCCCTCGTATCATGACGGGAAACAGGATTGAGTCCGCGCGTATGGTGGCGTCGGGAATTGTAAACGCCCTCCAGTACTCCTCTTCCGTAACCACATTCCTCATCTTCAGCTCGTGCAGGAAAAGGGAGGGAGTTTTGCTGATCCACTCTCGCAACTCCGGCAACTCCCTCTCGACGTCCTTCCAGTTTCCCTCTTCAAATTCCGTGATCATTTGACTGATGAATTCCTCTGCTCTCTGCCAGAGTAAAGGCACGGCAAGTGAGTGAGCAGCAATCGCCAGATCATCATCATCATCATCACGCACAACACGGCTGACCAATAGGGAGCCATCCCTCACACCCGAGCATCGATCAGCCTCCATTTTACCTTAACCAGATGGGAATTCCTCCGGTACAGCCATGGAATGCCCAGGTACATAACAACTTTTCAATCTCCACAACGGATCTCCCCACAGAATGCTGGTTACTTCCTCCCCGTGGCCCCATATATATTTATATAAAAGCTACCACTCTACACCAACGTCAGAAAACAACTTCAAGGGTGGACACCGAGAATTCCTTCCCCGCACTTTGACAACACTTCAAGCACATAAAGTCCCTCTCCGACGGTCTTTCTGCCCCCCCCCCCCCCCCCCCCCCCACAACTTCTTCCAGAAAACCATGGACCCGTTATGTCGGGGCTTGCGCATTTACCACAGTAATGAAAAACACAACAACAACAACAACAAGAGTGTGGGATAGACTTAGTAACGTGGAATGACTTACATTCATTTCATCATGACTGGAGATATTACTGCGCAGTGAATGATTTCGCAACAGCTGCAAGCAAAGGAAGAGGGGAGGAGAGGGGCAGTACATGATAACAAATAAAAAAATATAAACTTTTCTTTTGCAATCAAGGTGCTTCATAATGAACATGCATTCTACATGTAGCAGTAACCCCGTCTTACTCGTCGGTAATATCACATGAGCATTGATTCTGAACACAGACGTTCGCCCGACTTCTTACTCGATCCAAATACTCAATTGCTACCCCGGCCACCCGCATCAACACATCAACTTTCATCAATAACGTAACAAAAGATACAGCCACCTTTCTCTCTCTGTCCTCCTCCTGCATTCTCGGGTCATTGCGCATGACATATGTAAACATCTTTTTTTAAGGATTCGTTTTATTGTTCCAAACGTTTTGGTAATCTTTGATCTTAATTTGCTGCTGCGTTTAGTAGCTTCTGCACGGCAGGCTGTTTTTTTTTAATTATTAGTTTCAAGAACCACCGGTCAAACGCACAAAGCGATCAGCTGCCAATTGTGCATCTTGCGTCAGAAATCGTGGCAAAGCTCCATCATCACTGAACACACCGTGGCGGGAAAGATGCTCGCGTGAAGATATGCCGAGTGCTTTGATTAAAAAACGAAAATACAACTGTACGTTTTGGAACAACCTTTTAAAGGTTATTCATGGTAGGAACAACGAAGGCTAATTGCCTTTTAAAAGTAGGCAATGAGAATACATTCCATGTGTAATGAGTCCACCAGACCAGAAAGCCGCCTCCCCCCCCCCGATCGCCCCTCCTCATCTGGTGACGTCACAGCTCCCCTCGTAGGCGTTCCCTCTCTCTCACGCCCCGCCTTCGCTTTCCCTTCGTCCGTGACGTCATCTTTAACGGTAACCTGGGATCCTGTGGGTGTTTCGACCCCAGGAAGTGGCGCATTTCCTTAGTAAATCCGAATGCACCACGTGTATGGAAGACAGGAAACATAGAGAACGTGCAGGGTAGATGGCCAGAACTAGGTGGGTAAATGCTGATTTACACACTCAAACACTGACTCAACCACACACCCACTCACTCAATCACACCCACTTACCCATTCACTCACTCACCCACTTAGTCATTCACTCACTCATGCACCCACTCACCCACCCATCCACCCACCCATCCAACCACTTACTAGGCCCGATCACCCCAGGATCAGAGCCTTGACCTCAGAGTCCTTAGAAAGACGGCGATCCGAAGATCTGAAGGAACTTATTCGAGAGTCAACACGGACCGGTTGCTGCAGATTATAATGACGTGTGCTGCGACGCCTAATGCTTCACCGATCACTGCTGACCATTGCGATACAGGACGGGCAAATGACTCTAGCGACTCACGCGGTCTGCTGAGGTTCTCATTCAGCAGCGACACCAATAACAGGAGTGTGTTTTGGTCAGGTCACATAAACATAGCGAGGTGGAATGACTTACATTCAAAAGCTCTTCATCCGTATTCAAAGATGTCCTCCGAATTGTACTACGACTCCTTTCTATATAATAGAGAAAGAAACATTATTATAGAGCATTGTTATACGCATATATATGCTTTACATCATATAGACCTGTCGTGATGGGCTTATGTTGATGATGACGATGATTATCATATTATTCTTTTCTTCATATGGCTTAAAGGATGAATGTGAAGTGTAATATCACACCCACTCAAGGAGGTTCACTATTCTGGCAAATCGCCTGATGATGCTCGTTGATGCAATTACCACTATACACTACACTATACACTACACTATTATACACTACACTATACACTACACTATTATACACTACACTATACACTACACAATACACTACTATACACTACACCGTGATGATGCTGGTTGATGTAATTACCTGTGAAACGTGACGGTACTTAAATTGTAAATGTTGTGGATTTACTCTCCGAAACATTGGTGAGCCGAAGTAGTATATACTACACTATACACTACACTAATACACACTATACACTGCACCGTGATGATGATGAGAGAGAGACATGCAAACTCTAAATATACGGCAGCAGGCATCGTCAGGGTCCGGCATCGTACCCACGTCCTCCTGCGTACCAGGCGAGGGAGTCAACATCCTCCTAGCCACCGTGACTTACCCCAGGGAAAGCGTTTATGGCAGATTCTGTAGAGAAGGAGGCCCACGGTCACCACAAGTAGAATGACGAGCATGGCAGCACCGATGACAGCACCGGTGATAGCGCCAGCAACGTCTGAGGATTGTACACATTTAGTACAGTAGTGTATAGTGTAGTGTATAGTGTAGTGTATAGTGTAGTGTATAGTGTAGTGTATAGTAGTGTATAGTGTAGTGTATAGTAGTTTATGGTGCAGTGTATGGTCTATAGTGTAGTGTATAGTGTAGTGCATAGTAGTGTAGTTTAGTGTATAGTAGTGTATAGTGTAGTGTGTGTGTAGTGTATAGTAGTGTAGTGTATAATTTTGCAGTGTTTATTGTACAGTAGTGTGTATAGTAACGTAGCGTATATTAGTTTGTAGTGTTTAGTAGTGTGATGTGTAGTGTCTAGTAGTGTGGTGTGTAGTGTCTCATAGTGTATTGCCTAGTAGTGTAAAGTGTAGTGTAATAAATACATGGGATTTGACGAAACGAAGTATAGTAAGTTGTAACTTCACCTAAAAAAATATCTGGCCAACCCCAGTGAATTGACACGATGCGATTGTCACGGTGTGATTTGTAGCGTTGATCCTTGGCCACCCATTCATCACCGATAGTTACATTCGAATATGTAATTTTATCTAGGGTACTGTTGATATCTTGGTGTGGTCTGGGACTGTTGCTGTTGTCTTGGTGTGGTGTGGGACTGTTGTTGTTGTCTTGGTGTGGTGTGGGACTGTTGTCTTGGTGTGGTGTGGGACTGTTGTTGTTGTCTTGGTGTGGTGTGGGACTGTTGTTGTTGTCTTGGTGTGGTGTGGGACTGTTGTCTTGGTGTGGTGTGGGACTGTTGCTGTTGTCTTGGTGTGGTGTGGGACTGTCGTCTTGGTGTGGTGTGGGACTGTTGTTGTTGTCTTGGTGTGGGACTGTTGTCTTGGTGTGGTGTGGGACTGTTGCTGTTGTCTTGGTGTGGTGTGGGACTGTCGTCTTGGTGTGGTGTGGGACTGTTGTCTTGGTGTGGTGTGGGACTGTTGCTGTTGTCTTGGTGTGGTGTGGGACTGTTGTCTTGGTGTGGTGTGGGACTGTCGTCTTGGTGTGGTGTGGGACTGTTGTCTTGGTGTGGTGTGGGACTGTTGTCTTGGTGTGGTGTGGGACTGTTGTTGTTGTCTTGGTGTGGTGTGGGACTGTTGTCTTGGTGTGGTGTGGGACTGTTGTTGTTGTCTTGGTGTGGTGTGGGACTGTTGTTGTTGTCTTGGTGTGGTGTGGGACTGTTGTCTTGGTGTGGTGTGGGACTGTTGTTGTTGTTGTCTTGGTGTGATCGGGGACTGTCCTCTGGTCTGCACTCCTATCGTGTGTTTGTGTGCTCGTTCCTGCTACTCGTTCACCCCACCCTCTTCGGGCCCTCCTCCTCCCGCAAGCCCCGACACTTCACTACTATACACTACACTATACACTACACTATACACTACAATACACTACACAATACACTACACTATATACTACATTACTTTACAGTAGACTACTATACATTACACTATACACTATACTCTACACTGCATTACTTTACACTAGACTACTATACACTACACTACTTTACACTAGACTACTATACACTACACTATACACTACACTATTATACACTACACTATTATACACTAATGTACACTATACACTGCACTAATATACACTACATTACTTTACACTAGACTACTATATACTACACTATACCTTGACTTGAAGCTTTCGTAACTGCAGGATTTCATATTCTTTTGGTCTTTCCATAAAGTCACGTAGATAGGTTAAAAAATAATGAAAAATAAACAAAAAAACTATGACGTTTCAATCAAAACACAAGCGACCATCATCAGGTGGGAAGCTAAGCGACATGTCTCGAACCGTGTTCGTGAGCATAAGGCAGATTTGAACCACGGGAGGACCAACACTTCAGCCATGGCGGATCATTGTTTAAATGCACCAGGCTCACACGAAATTTATTTCTCTAAGACGAAGGTATTTTGCAAGCCCACTAGCTATCAACAAAGATTCGTTCATGATGCCATCCATCTATATAGACACAGACACAATTTCAAGCAAGAGGATGGGTACACACTTCAGCAATCATTGGAAGGACATCATCAACCAGTTTATGTCATAACTGGCTGTGATGTTTCCATCTTGTCACCTTCCGATGTTCGTTTTATTTTACTAAAGACGGGACGAGCAATTCGAGTTCCTGCCGTGTCTCCCTTGCGTTGGGCGCACCACAAGTTGTTTATTTTCTCCATGCGTCTCCCCCTTTCTTGTTTATCTGATTTCACATTAACATCAACATCTCCGCTTGTGCTGATACCAGGGCGCTTGTGCCACGCCCACTTTGTCCTGATACCAAGGCGCTTGTGCCCCGCCCACTTTGTGCTGGCCCCAGGGCACTTGTGCCACGCCCACTTTGTCCTGATACCAGGGCGCTTGTGCCCCGCCCACTTTGTGCTGATACCAGGGCACTTGTGCCCCGCCCACTTTGTCCTGATACCAAGGCGCTTGTGCCCCGCCCACTTTGTGCTGGCCCCAGGGCACTTGTGCCACGCCCACTTTGTCCTGATACCAGGGCGCTTGTGCCCCGCCCACTTTGTGCTGATACCAGGGCACTTGTGCCCCGCCCACTTTGTCCTGATACCAGGGCGCTTGTGCCCCGCCCACTTTGTGCTGATACCAGGGCAATTGTGCCCCGCCCACTTTGTCCTGATACCAGGACGCTTGTGCCCCGCCCACTTTGTGCTGATACCAGGGCGCTTGTGCCCCGCCCACTTTGTGCTGATACCAGGGCGCTTGTGCCCCGCCCACTTTGTCCTGATACCAGGACGCTTGGGCTACGCCCATTTTAAACCTTTTAAACAGCTTCCCTTTAGTGGCTTCCCCTCCTTTTTTCCACCTGATGACGGTTGCTTGTGTTGCGATCGAAACGTCGTAGTTTTTTTTCCAGTTACTAATTCAAGCCCATTGACATGCTGAATTCTCCAGCCCCCACCCGTCCCTTCACGCCACAAACCCTCCCCCTCTCCCCCCCATGAACTCCTGCAGCCACGACTCTACAAAACTCCCCCCCCCCCCTCCCCCCCCCCGTGCCTATATAAAGCCACAACAGCAGATCATTCATTTTCACCTGATGATGGACGCTTAAGTTTCGAGCGAAACGTCGTGTTTCTTTTGTTATTTTTTCTATCTTTTTTTCATACGTGACTTTACCGAAATACCCTAGCAATAAGACACTATACACTACAATACTACACACTACACTATATACTACACTACTATACACTACGCTATATACTACACTACTATACACTACGCTATATACTACACTACTATACACTACACTATATACTACACTACTAAACACTACACTATACACTACTAGACACTACACTACTATACAATACACCACTATACATAACATCACTATACACTACACCTCTATACACTACACCGACCCGCCAACGTCGATTGTAGCGTGTTAGAGCCGCGTTGGTGCGGCGACCAGTCATTCAAACCTGCGTCTCCCTTTGCTTCCGTGCAGTTGTTCGATGGGGCAGCCCTCTGGAAGCCGTCTTTACAGCGACAGCGAGTGTCTTCTCTGGTGGTGCATCTGCTCTCTGTGTCCTCGGCTGCAGAACAACACCACCATTACCATCACCACCGCCACACGTGGGTAGTACATTAGCGAGCGTTTGGGAACGCAGCGTAGCCGCTCCCGTACGCGGGCATATGGAACGACTGCGTCAGGGTCAGGATCGAACCCATGAACTCCCGCATACCAGGCGAGGTAGTTAACATCTTCCTCGGCACAGTGGCAAGATTTTACTTCGTTTCGCGAGTGGTGCTTGAATCATGCAAACCCCCCGATTCCTCCAAACCCGTCCCCTCCTTATTGTTCCTGGGTTCACGTCGTATCTACAAACAACCACCCACCGCTCTTACAATTCACGTTGCAAACGGTGCACTTCTTGCACTCGTTGGAGCTGTTCGGTTCGTCCGTGTAGTCTTCTCCCACGCGGCAACTCGTACAAAACGTGCCGCTCATGTCAGATTCACAATCCATCACCTTCTTGCTACCTGCACGGTGGCAGTATGGGTGGTGGGTGGGTGGGAGGGAGGGAGGAGGGAAACAGACGCACCGCCTGAACAAGAATACAAATCAAAAGGTTTTGGTGTTTTTTGTCCTTCCCCGCCTTGCTGTGTTCCAGACTCGTGAATCATTCCACTTAGGAACGAGTCTCAGGAACGAATTAGATTCACAACCCGAGGACTGCCAGTCCACTACTATACAATACACTATACACTACACTACTATACAATACACTATACACTGCACTACTATACACTAAATTTCGATTTAAAGCTTTCGTGACTGCAAGGATTAATCTTCTTTGGTTATTTCGGTAAAGTCACGTAGAATGAGAATAAAATAATAAATTGATAAAATATCACAATAATATTCTCACGACGTTTCGGCCACAACACAAGCGGCCTTCATCAGGTGAAGGGACGAGACTGTCTGGAGGACAGCGCTGTCAACATACACTGCCCATAGACTAACACTACCCATATAGATTCAACACTGCCCATAGATTAACACTACCTATATAGATTCAATACTGTCCATAGACTCACTATCCATATAGATTCAACACTTCCCATAGACTAACACCACCCATATAGATTCAACAATGCCCATAGACTACACGGCCCATATAGATTCTACACTACCCAAAGACAAACAGTACCCATATAGATTCAACACGGCCCATAAACTAACACCCTCCACATAGATTCAACACTGCCCATAAACTAACACTACCCATATAGATTCAACAATGCCCATAGACTAATAGTACCCATTTTCAGGGTGTTTAAAAAAGATACACCCGACTTGAAATCGCTATATCTCTGCAACCATGAATGAAACTTTTACTACTAGAAAGGGCACGGAATCGTGTTTCAAATTATTACCGCTAGATGCCTCTGCCAGCGCAAAACAGCCCCTAGCCTCAGTCATTCCCATAACACACTGCTTCACCGTTGGAGAGGTTGCACGGGACCCCA